GTAGCTGGGACTACAGGCGCCCGCCACAACGCCTGGCCATTTTTTGGTTGCAGCCATCATTGTTGTTTGGTGGGCCTGGGCTGGGGATTCGAACCCGCAACCTTAGGTGTATGTGGCTGGCGCCCTAGCCACTTGAGCCACAGGCGCCAAGCCACCAACTATTTTTTTGTTGCAGTTTGGCCTGGGCCAGGTTTAAACCTACCACCCTCAGTATATGGGGCCGGTGCCCTACCCACTGAACCATAGGTGCCACCCATTTGTAGGTTTTGATATTATAATTGTGTTAACTTCTAAAAATAATTGATAAGCTTTCATTTTTTTCTTACTGCTATACTGGGACTTAGGTAGCATTTTAAATTAAATATTGCCATGACTTTATCTAACAATTTATGTCTTAATTCAACTTGAGTGTTAATACTATAATCTCTGCTTTCTTTTTTTGTTTGTATATGCTTTAGTATATATTTTTTTCCCTTTTTAACCTTCAGACTTTCTGAGACTTTCTATTTTAGCTTTTCCTATTACAATTGGTATATATAGTTAATTGAATTTTGGTTTTTGATCTAATCTTTTCTTTCTTTCTTTTTTTTTTTTGGAGACAGAGTCTTACTCTTTCTCCCTGGCTAGAGTGTGGTGGGATCATCAGAGCTTACTGCATTCTCAAACTCCTAGACTCAAATAAACCTCCTGCTTCAGTCTCCTGAGTAGCCCCAGTTACAGGCATGGGCCAACATGCTCAGCTAATTTTTTAATTTTTTGTACAGATGGGGTCTCCCTATATTGCTCAGGCTGGTCTTGAATTTGAGACCTCAAGTGATACTCCTGCCGTGGCCTCCCAAGGTGCTGGGATTATAAACATAATAATTTTATTGTTACTGTGCCCAGCCTATGCATTATGTTTTGTTTTCTAAGCAGTAATCGTCATGGTTACATATGTTTAATGTCATGGTTAAATGGATTCAGTCTAGTACTCTTTTCCAGACTTTTCATCCCACATTTTTTCCTGGTTGTTAATTCTTTATTTTGAGCCGCCTTTTAGTGAGCGTGGGATTCTGTTTTCAAGCAGATTTATTTTTCTTCAAGAAGGGCTGGGGCATTATATATATATATCTGTGGTATTCATATAGTTAAGAATGTCTGTTGTTTTTACATACAGAAAACAATAACTGCTCCTGAAATTCTTAGTCACACTCTTTTCCCTTCACAATTCTATAAACATTGCTTCCTTGTCTTCTGCCACCTATATTCTTTTTATTCCTTTTCCCCAGAATGTCTCACAGAGCAGCCAAGATACCACTGTAGAGACAGAAGGTAAAATAATGGTAGTTCTGTAAATTCTCTCTTCTTCTCATGTGAATCCAGTGCCATGTATGTTCTGCTGAAAAGTGTGAGATTGGCCTGCTTGTTTTTTCCTTTGTACATAGCTTGTTTCTTTTCTCTAATAGTTCTAACAGGGATTGGCAAACATTTTCTGTAAAGTGACTATAAATATTTTAGGGTTTGTAGGCCATATGGTCTCTACAGCAAACACTTAACTCTGCAGTTGTGACACAAAAGCCCATGTGTAAATGAATGGGCTTTGCTGTGTGCCAATAAAACTTTATATACAAAAACAGATGGCAGTTTGGCCTGCTGGCTCATAGTTTGCTCAATTCTGGCTTGTAAGATTCTTTTACCTTGAAGTTTAGTAACTTCTCTAGGTTATTTTGAAATTTTGAAAATTTTCCTGGTATATAGTGTGAGTCCCTTTTATCTACTGATGCACATCTTTCTTAATTTATAGAAAATTGCCTTCCTTAATTTTTTTCCTATTCCATTTGTTCTTTTTTCTGTCTTTGAGAGCATCTGCTGTTCATTAGCTTTCCTTTTTTTCCTCTGCACGTCTGTTGTATTTTCTGTCATATTTTCTTTGCCTATTTCCTCCTAGTCCCCACCCCCTTCCCTCAGGTCCGTGATTTTTCTAAAGTTTGTCTTCCATTTGGCTGATAGGGTTTTTCTAAATTATCTTTTCTGCTCTGTGTTGCAATAACTTTTTAATTTTTATTATATCTATTTTTTTTTTTTTTTTTGAGACAGAGCCTCAAGCTGTCCCCCTGGGTAGAATGCCATGGCATCATAGCTCACAGCAACCTCCAACTCTTGGGTTCAAGCGAGTCTCTTGCCTCTGCCTCCCAAGTAGCTGGGACCACAGGTGCCAGGCCAACAACGCCTGGTTGTTTTTTGGTTGCAGCCGTCACTGTTGTTTGGTGGGCCCAGGCTGGATTCGAACCCACCACCTTAGGTGTATGTGGCTGGTGCTTTGGCCACTTGAGCCACAGGTGCCGAGCCAATTTTTATTATATCATTATTTAGTTCTTAATTTTTTTTTCTTAGCTCTGCTAGCCTCCCTTATCTATGTTGTCTTATTTCCTTGAGAGGATGAAGCAGTTGTCTAAAATTTTATTCTGATTCCCAGAGTAAATCTTCAAAAGTGCTGTTTCTTTTTAGAAAAAATTTGAAAAAATTGAGGCTGGGTGCAATGGCTCATGCTGGTAATCCTAGCACTCTGGGAGGCCGAGGTGGGTGGATTGCCTGAGCTCATAGGTTCGAGACCAGCCTGAGCCAGAGCAAGACCCATCTCTAAAAATAGCTGGGTGTTGTGGCAGGTGCCTGTGGTAAAGGGATCACTTGAGCCCAAGAATTTAAGGTTGCTGTGAGCTGTGAGCTGTGATGCCACAGCACTCTACCGAGGGCTACAAAGTGAGTCTCTGTCTCAAAAAAACCTTTTTTTTGAAAAAATTGTGGTAAAATACACATAACAAAATCTTCCATTTTAACCATGTTTACATTTGCATTTCACTTTTTTTTTCTTTTTTTTTGAGAAAAAGCTGTTGCCCTTGGTAGAGTGCCATGGCCTTATAGCTTGCAACTTCAAACTCTTGGGCTTAAGAGATCCTCTTGCCTCAGTTTTTCATTTTTAGTAGAGATGGGGTCTTACTCTTGCTCAGGCTGGTCCCAAACTTGTGAACTCAAGTGATCCACCTTCCTCGGCCTCCCAGATTGCTAGGATTATAGGCATGAGCCACCATGCCTGGTTATATGTGCATTTCAGTGGCATTAAGTATATTCACATTGCTGTGCAGCCATCCCCACTGTTCATTTCCAGGACTTTTCGTCTTCCTAAACTGGAACTCTGTATCTTCAATAGTAAATCTCTATGTCCTCTGCCCTATCCCCTGGCAACCATCATTCTACCTTCTGTCTCTATAAATTTGACTATTCTGGGTACCTCATATAAGTAGAATCAGGTATATAGTATTTGTTTTTTCCTGCCTTATTTCACTCAGCATGATGTCTTCAGTGTTGATCCATGTTGTAATATGTATTAGAATTTCCTTCCCCCCAAGGCTGAATAATATTTTCTGTATATATATGCTACATTTTCTTTATCCATTTATCTGGCCATTTGGGTTATTTCCACCTTTTAGCTACTGTGAATAATACTACTGTGATCATAGGTATAAAAATGTCTGTTTGAGTTCCAGCTTTCATTTCTTTCTTTTCTTTTTTTTTTTTTTAAAACAGAGTCTCAAGCTATCCCCCTGGGTAGAGTGCCATGGCATCACGCTCACAGCAACCTCCAACTGCTGGGCTCAAGCGAGTCTCCTGCCTCCGCCTGTTTTTTGGTTGCAGCTGTCATTGCTGCTTGGCGTGCCCGGGCTGGGGATTCGAACCCGCCACCTTAGGTGTATGTGGCTAGCGCCTTAGCCGCTTGAGCCACAGGCGCCGAGCCCCAGCTTTCATTTCTTTTAGGTATATACCCAGAAGTTGAATTGTTGTATTATATGGTAATGCTATGCTTAACTTTTTCTTTTTAATTAATTAATTTTAGAGATAGTGACTTGCAATCCACTCAGGCTAGAATGTAGTGATGTGATTATAGGTCACTGCAACTTTGAACTCCTGAGCTCAAGTGATCCTCTTGAGTAGCTAGGATCACAGGCTCGTGACACCATGCCTGGCTAATTTTTAAAATATTTTATAGAGATTTTGTCTTGCTTTGTGGTGAAGGCTGGTCTCAAACTCCTGGCCTCACGCAATTCTTCTACTTTGATTTCCCAAAGTTCTGGGATTATAGGTCTGAGGCATTGTACTTGGTTTCTTTGTTTAATTTTTTTGTCTACTATCTTTCTGTAGTGGCTGTACCATTTTACATTACTACCAGCAATGCATAAAAATTTCAGTTTCTTTATTTTCATGCCAATACTTGTCATTTTCTGGGCTTTTTTAATTGAATATTTTTTATAGTAGCCATCCTTATGGATGTGAAGTAGTATCTCATTATGGTTTTGATTTGCATTTCCTTAATGATTAAGGATGTTAAGTCTGTTTTCATATGATTACTGGCCATTTGTATGTCTTTGAAGAAATTTCTGTTCAAGTCCTTTGCCCATTTTTTTTTTTTTAAGACAGTGTCTCACTCTGTCACCCTGAGTAGAGAGCCATGGTGTCATCATAGCTGACAGCAACCCCAAATTCTTTGGGCTCAAGTGATCCTCTTGCCTCCTGAGTAACTGGGACTATAGATGCCCACCACAACTCTGGGCTAAATTTTCTGGTGGCATCTTGCTTTTGTTCAGCTGGTCTTGAAATCCTGAGATCAAGGGATCCTCCTGCCTCAGCCTCCTAGTGTGCTAGGATTACAGGCATGTGCAACTGCACCTGGCCTCCTTTGCCCATTTTTATAATGGCTTATTTGTTTTGGTGGTTTTGAGTTGTAGGAGCTTTTTTTTTTTTTTTGAGACAGAGTGTCAAGCTATCGCCTTGGGTAAAATGTCATGGCATCACAGCTCACAGCAACCTCCAACTCCTGGGCTCAAGTGAGTCTCCTGCCTCCACCTCTCAAGTAGTGGGACTACAGGTGCCTGCCACAACAAACACCTGGCTATTTTTTGGTTGCAGCCGTCATTGTTGTTTGGTGGGCCAGAGCTGGATTCGAACCCGCCAGCTTAGGTGTATGTGGCTGGTGCCTTAACCACTTGAGCCACAGGTGCCGAGCTAGGAGTTCTTTATATATTCTGGATATTAATTTCGTAGGAAATATATGACTTACAAATATTTTCTATCATTCTGTGACTTGCCTTTTCACTTTTTATTTTTTTTTATTTTTATTTTTTTTTTTTTTTTGAGACAGAGCCTCAAGCTGTCCCCCTGGGTAGAGTGCCATGGCATTACAGCTCACAGCAACCTCCAACTCCTGGGCTCAAGTGAGTCTCCTGCCTCCACCTCTCAAGTAGTGGGACTACAGGTGCCTGCCACAACAAACACCTGGCTATTTTTTGGTTGCAGCCGTCATTGTTGTTTGGCAGGCCTGGGCTGGATTCGAACCCGCCAGCTTAGGTGTATGTGGCTGGTGCCTTAACCACTTGAGCCACAGGTGCCGAGCTAGGAGTTCTTTATATATTCTGGATATTAATTTCGTAGGAAATATATGACTTACAAATATTTTCTATCATTCTGTGACTTGCCTTTTCACTTTTTATTTTTTTTTTTGAGACAGAGTCTCAATATTTCAACCTCAGTGGGGTGCGGGGGCATCACATCTCACAGCAACCTCAAACTCGTGGGCTTAAGCGATTCTCTTGCCTCAGCCTTCCAAGTAGCTGGGACTACAGGCGCCCACCACAACACCCGGCTATTTTTTGGTTGCTTTTGTCATTGTTGTTTGTCAGGTCTGGGCTGGATTCGAACCCACCAGCTCCAGTATATGTGGTTGGAGCCCTAGCCACTGAACTATAGGCTTGAGCCTCCAAAGAGTTTTTTATTTTAGGTCTTACATTTAGGTCTTTGGTCTATATTGAATTAATATTTTCTATATGGTATAAGGCAAGGATCCAGGTTCTTTCTTTTTTTTTTTTTTGTAGAGACAAGGTCTTACTTTGTTGCCCTTGGTAGAGTGCTGTGGAGTCACAGCTCACAGCAACCTCTAACTCCTGGGCTTAAGCAATTCTCTTGCCTCACCCTCCTGAGTAGCTGGGACTATAGGCACCTGCCACAATGCCTGACTATTTTTTGGTTGCAGTTCGGCTGGGGCCAGGTTTGAACCCACCACCCTCAATATATGGAGCCCGCGCCCTACTCACTGAGCCACAGGCACCGCCTGATCCACGTTCTTTCTTTTGCATGTAGATATCTAGTTTTCTGGGTACTATTTATTGAAAAGATGGTCTTTTCCCATTGAATGGTCTTGGTACTCTTATTGAAAATCATCGGATCACAAAATAAGGGTTTGGTTCTGGATACCCTATTCTATCCCATTGGTCTGAATGTCTGTATTTATGCCACAATCACACTGTTTTCATTGCTGTTTCTTTGTATTAAGTATGGAGTGTGAGGCCTCCAGCTTTGTTCTTTTTAAACATTGTTTTGGGTATTCAGGATCCCTTGATAATCCACATGAATTTTAGGATGGATTTTTCTGTTTCTGTAAAAAATGTCATAGAGATTTGATAGGGATTGCATCGAGACTATAGACTGCTTTGGGTGGTAGTGTTAACATATTAACAATATTAAGTCTTCTAATTCATGAACATGGTTGTCCTTCCATTTATTTTTGCGTTTAGTTTCTTTCAGCAGTGTTTTGTAGTTTTCAGTGCATAAGTCATTCAGCTTCTTGGTTAAGTTTATTCACAAGCATTTTATGCCTTTTGGAGCTATTATAAATGAAATTGTTTTCTTTCTTTCTTTTTTTTTTTTTTTTAATTGAGACACAGTCTCAAGCTGTCGTCCTGGGTAGAGGGCTGTGGCATCACAGCTCATAAAAGCCTCCAACTCTTGGGCTTAAGCGATTCTCTTGCCTCAGCCTCCTGAGTAGCTGGGACTATAAGCACCTGCCACAATGCCTGGTTATTTATTTATTTATTTTTTTTGGTTGCAGTTGTCATTGTTGCTTAGCAGACCCGGACCAGGTTCGAGCCTGCCACTGTATCTGGCTGGTGCCCTTGCCAACTGAGATATAGGTGCCACCCTGAAATTGTTTTCTTAATTTTCTTTTCAGATTTTTCATTGTTAATGTATAGAAACACAGCTGATTTTTGTATGTTAACTATATATCTTGCAACTTCATTGAAGTCATTTATTAGTTCCAGAAGTGTTTTTTTTTTGCAGTTTTTGGCCAGGGCTGGGTTTGAACCCACTACCTCTGGCATATGGGGCCGGTGCCCTACTCCTTTGAGCCACAAGAGCTGCCCATTCCAGAGGTTTTTGTGTGTGGAATCTTTAGAGTTTTCTGCATACAAGGTTGGACAATTAAGTTTACAAACTCATCTTAGAAAAAATATTACTATATACCTCATTGCTGAATATCACTACAGGGCCATCTGGTGACCACAGTGGTACTGAATTTAGTTTGCTAGCATTTTTTTTAGGATTTTTGTATCAGTAGTTATTAGGGATATTGGTCTGCAGTTTTCTTTTCTTGTCGTGTCTTTTTCTTGCTTTGGTATCAGGGTAAATCTGACCTCATAGAATGAGTTAGGGAATTTTCTTCAATATTTTAGAAATTGGGAAGGATTAATTTTAGTTCCTCAAATGCTTAGTGGAATTTACCAGTGAAGCCACCTGGTGGGCTTTTCTTTGATTACTGACTGATTCAATTTCCTTAAGAGTTTTTGTTCTGGCTTGGTGCCCATGGTGCAGTGGTTACGTACAGCACTAGCCACATACACCGAGGGTGGTAGGTTTGAACTCGACCCAAGCCAGCTAAACAACTGCAACAAAAAAATAGCTAGGCGTTGTAGTGGGCACCTGTAGTCCCAGCTACTTGGGAGGCAAGAGAATCGCTTAAGCCCAAGAGTTTGAGGTTGGTGTGAGCTGTGACACAACAGCACTCAACCCAGGGTGACATAGTGAGATTCTGTCTCAAATACAAAAAGAAAAAGTATTCTTCTGGCTTGATACCTGTAGCACAGTGGTTATGGCACCAGCCATATACTGAGGGTGGTGGGTTCAAACCTGGCCTGGGCCAGCTAAACAACAATGACAACTGCAATAAAAAATAGCCGGGTGTTGTGGTGGGCACCTGTAGTCCCGTCTACTTGGGAGGCTGAGGCAAGAGAATCACTTAAGCCCAAGAGTTGGAGGTTGCTGTGAGCTGTGATGCCACAGCACTCTACTGAGGGCAATATAGTGAGACTCTATCTCACACACACACAAAAGTTTTAGGGCAGTGCCTGTGGCTCAAAGGAGTAGGGCACTGGCCCCATATGCCAGAGGTGGCGGGTTCAAACCCAGCCCTGGCAAAAAAAAAAAAAAAAAAAAGAGAGTTTTTGTTCTATTTAGAGTTTCGTTTTCTTAAGATTCAGCCTTGGTAGGTATGTGTTTTCAGGAATTTGTGTATTTCATCTAGGTTATCTAATTCGTTGGCATATGATTGTTTGAAGTGATCTTTTATGATCCTTTTTATTTATGTAAACTTGGTAGTAATGTCCCTCTTTCAGTTCTCATTTTAGTTATTTGAGTCTCGTCTCTTTTTCTCAGTGGGTAAAGGTTTACCAGTTTTGTTGATCTTTGCAAAGAGCTAATTCTTGATTTTTAAAAAATTTTCTCCATTATTTTTCTTTTCTCTATTTTATTTCTCTCTGCTGTGATCTTTAGTATTTATTTGTTTGTTAATTTTCTGAGACAGGGTCTCACTCTGTGCTTGGGTTATAGTGCAGTGTCATTATCATAGTTCTTGGGCTCTAGTGATCCTCCCACCTCAACCTCCCAAATAGCTAGGACTACAGATTCACACCACCATGCCTGGATAATTTTTTATTTTATGTAAGAACGAGGTCTGCCTCTTCCTTAGGCTAGTCTCAAAATCCTGGTCTCAAGTGATACACCCACCTCAGCCTTCCAGAGTGCTAGCGTTATAGGTGTGAGCCATCACACCCTGGCCATTCTTTTGGTGATTAATCTTAAGACAATTATCAGGAAGTATTCCCCTGGCCCAAAGGAAACATGATATATATATATATTTTTTTGGCTGGGGCTGGGTTTGAAGCTGCCACCTCCAGCATATGTGGCCGGTGCCCTACTCCTAGAGCCACAGGCGCCACCCTAGGAAACATGATTTTTTTTTTTGTAGAGACAGTCTCACCCCCTCGCCCTCGATAGAGTGCAGTGGAGTTGCTCCAGCAACTTCCAACTCCTGGGCCCAGGCGACTCCTCTGCCTCAGCCTCCCAAGCAGCTGGGACCACAGGCGCCTGCCACAACGCCCGGCTATCCCTTGTTGCAGCTTGGCCGGGGCTGGGCCCGAACCCACCACTCTCGGTATGTGGGGCCGGCGCCCCACTCACTGAGCCACAGGTGCCTCCCAGGAAACATGATTTTTAATCAGCTGCCTTACCTGGAAGACTAAGGTGCTTCTTTTTCTAACAGTTTTTAAATGGAAATCTTTGATAAAGTAGTATATCCTCAACAGGCTACCCTTTTCAATCTCTCCCCTAAAGTGACAACACAAGTATAGCCAAGTGTATGCGCCTAGTTTTTTGTATACAACCAATGAATTCAGCTGATAAATGGAAGTAACTTTTTTTTTTTTTTTTTTGAGACACAGTCTCAACCTGTCACCTTGGGTAGAGTGCTATGGCGTCACAGCTCATAGCAACCTCAAACTCTTGGGCTTAAGTGATTCTCTTGCTGCACCTTCCCAAGTAGCTGGAACTATGGGCATCCCCCACAGTACCCACTGTTTTTCTGTTGCAGTTATCTTTGTTGTTTAGCAGGCTGGGGCCAGGTTTGAACCTGCCAGCTTCAGTATATGTGGCCGATGCCCTAACCACTGAGCTATGGGTGCTCAGCCCAAAGTAGGAATTTTCAAAAGGGTAACTAACTTATAAATATTAGTTTAATATATGCTCTATGTGAGGAACTGTGGGGACTACAAAGATGCATAAGATGAGACTGAGATTCAACCATGAGGGTGAGGCTGGGAGAGAACAAGTACATAAATAATTTTGTTACAAGATAGGATGTATAAATAGTCTTAGGCCTCCCCATGTTGGATGAAAAGAAATTTTTTTTTTTTTTTTTGAGACAAAGCCTCAAGCTGTTCCCCTAGGTAGAGTGCTATGGCATCATAGCTCACAGCAACCTCTAACTCCTGGACTCAAGCGAGTCTACTGCCTCAGCCTGCCAAGTAGCTGGGACCACAGGTGCCCACCACAGCGCCCGGCTATTTTTTGGTTGCAACCATCATTGTTTGGCGAGCCTGGGCTGGATTTGAACCCGCCACCTTAGGTGTATGTGGCTGGTGCCTTAGCCACTTGAGCCACAGGTGCCGAGCCATGATGAAAAGAAATATTAAGGAAGCTTTTGTGAAACAGCTAGCATATGTGTAGAACTTTGAAAGATAGATGAATTAAAAAATGTTTTAAATTGTTTCTGATTATGGCTGGTGCCCATAGTCCCAGCTACTTGGGAGGCTGAGGCAAGAGTATTACTTAAGCCCAAGAGTTTGAGGTTGCTGTGAACTATGATGATGCCATGGCACTCTACCCAGGGTGATAGAGTGAGTCACTGTCTAAAAAAAATTGCTTCTGATTATAAAAGTAGTGCATATAGGTTCTTGAAAATTTGAAAAATATAAGGCCAGGAGCAGTTGCTTATGCCTATAATCCTAGCACTCTGCCTAATCAGGTAGATTGTTTGAGCTTAGGAGTTCAAGATCAGCCTAAGCAAGAGGGAGACTCTGTCTCCACTAAAAATAGGAAAACTAGCCAGGTGTTGTGGTACATGGCCCTTATGGAGCTTATGTTTAAGGCACAAAATTTCGTGAATGAGAAAGACAATAAGCTAGTATATAAGTAACTAAATAAAATACATACAGACTGTGATTAGTTCTGTGAAGGAGAGGATATGATAGGGACTAGCAGGAAGAAACTAATGTCGGTGGGCTGATTAGGAACCAGAATAACATCCCAGATATCTATGTACAAAGACCCTGGGGCAGTAAAGAGCTTGCTTTGTTCTTGGTACCTGACAGGAGGCCTGCTTATCTCAGTATTTCTCAGTTTATATAAATATTAGATGCTTTTTTTCTTTTTTTTGGAGACAGAGTCTCACTATGTCGTCTTTGGTAAAGTGCTATGGAATCACAGCTCACGGCAACCTCAAACTCTTGGCCTTAAGTGATTCTCTTGCCTCAGCCTCCCGAGTAGCTGGGACTACAGGCTCCCACCACAATGCCCAGCTATGTTTTTTTTTTTTTTTTTGAGACAGAGCCTCAAGCTGTCCCCCTGGGTAGAGTGCCGTGCCATTATAGCTCACAGCAACCTCCAACTCCTGGGCTC